ACGAGTCTCATCTAACAAAGTACCCTGGTGAATAGACGAAAGGATGCATCTAATGTAATCCACGAGCCTATGACCGACCTTCGATCGTCGAAGAAACCAGAAGATCGAGTCGTAGTCTCTCCGCTCGGATGCTCCTCGAGCTGAGCAGGGCCATCCTCGGTGACTCTTCATGGCCCTCGTAAACGATAATTACAATAATTACGATAACCGTGGCGCCTGGTACGTTCGAAAGCGACGCCGCATCTTCGTCCTCTTTGTTAATCACGCTTAATTAATATTCCATGGTGTATCGGGGCGCGGAGTAACGATTAGGCTATCAGTTGTGACCGGTTGGTACGATCAATTAATTTGAAAAAATTTCAGTTTTCTATCCTCTGTATTCCGTAATTAATTATTAAAACGAAGAATATAAGTTTCTGTTGTTACAAAGGGAAGGTAGAATTAGAATATTTTGACGCCATTGCATCGAGAACGTTTCTTGCAACGATTCAACAGGCTTAGAGGCAGGGTCGAGAGCAGTAAAGCTCACGACTTCTTCTTTCCAACGTTCCATCCGGCTGTTTCTCTCATTATCCGTTTCCATGTAGTCTCACCCAGATACACGGAACGTCACCCAGACACGGTGGGTGCAAGGGTGCATCGGGCCAACAGCGTTCGCCCGGCGAACGTGGGCTCCCACTCTGTGGGATAAGACCACTCTGCCTTCCCATTATGGTCGGTTATATGCCCGAGAAACTGTTCCGACGCGTATTTTTCCTTTCGTTCGTTACCAAGAAACACCGCGTGCAGTTTAAATGCACGCTGCTCGCCCGCTCCTTCTACTCCCTCGTTTGATTGCATGCACGTCTTTACGCGTCTTTGATCCCCTTTTTGCTTTTGTCTTTCCTTTAACTCTCCCTAGTACATTGGCGTAGAAATTTTCTCTTCTCTTTCATTCGTCGGCGTAACTCGGATTAACCCTTTTTTGAATTCTTTTCTTTTGAAAATTTCATCTGAACCCTTTTATTATACTTCAAAGGGTTTTCGCAACAATTTGTGTAGTCGCTGTTGAGAAAATTGTTTCGTCGTTACAAAATCGACCAAAAGACTAATGTTTTGCGCGATGGGTAATTGGCTTTGATAAAACGTTTGCTCTATCGCGTCCAGCTTCCTACGAGCTGTTCTACGCTCGCTGTTTCCTTCGGTAGAAGAAAATAAAGAAGAGTAATAAGAAAAAGTTGGAGGAAAGGAACAGGCCACGCCGCTTCTCGCGATGCGAGAATGCATTAAAGCGGCCCGTCGAAAAATCTCGCCGAGCGTAACGCGTTTAGCACACGATATAATCTGATGCAGTGATGCAACGAGCGGCGATATATTAGCAAGTCAAAGCTGCGGGGAACCGGTTCATAAAGCGTTAACAAACTATTTCGAACGTGCAACATAAATTAACGTCCTCCGTTGAGCTTTCCTCTGTCTGCTTTCGCCTATCCGAATCGAAAGGGACATTGAAAATCGAAACAATTCATTTTTCCTTTCAATTGTACTGTTGTACTAAATTTCGAATGATCCCCCATGGCAGCGAACGTATCATAGGGCGTCTTGTTACGCATGGCTGTATCTACCGAGCCACTCGACAGGAACTAATTAATTTACATTTTTTAAATAAGAGAAACATCTACATAAAGTACTCGAAGAAATCAAACGTCTTCTCTAAACTATCGTTCGATTCCCTATCTAAATTGCGTTTGACTAATTAATCGGTCCGCTTATCCAACGATTATTCAATAGGTATAACCGCGCGATTCGTGTATCGGGAACGATTTTCTGGTCAACCGATATCTACTTTTCGCGGAGCAATCGATATCGCAACGAGAAGCTGTTCGCCTTCGTGAAATCGATACCAACCGCCGTCGATTGATAAACGAGTACGATCGTGTACCGAGCCGCAGTGAAAACGAACTTCCTTGGCCCCCGGCGAGCCTTACTTATTCATTTGCGTAAATTAATTCGATCGCGGGCTTTCGTTCCGACCAAACGAAACTTTAACTCGTGATCGAACGTCGGGGATCGATAAGAATCGCAGGAAACAAACAACGATGCCTGGCAGCCATTTCGTACGCTGCTGCGACCCTACCCTTGCGCGCATTCAAATCACCAGCCGTTCGACAGCCGTTCGACAGTCTCCCGTGGCTATTCATTCTTCTTTCTCCTTTCTTTCGATATTTTCAAAAAATTTTGTAACCCTTACGTTACAACATCATTAAGATTCGTTCTAAAGAACCATCTTGGACCAGGGGCCCTTTTATGACCAAAGTATCTCGCTAACGCAGTGTTTGTTTTACCGAACATTCGCCTCGGAATGTACGTATTATATCATTACGTATTATTACCCATTACATACCTCGTTACACCGTATGTATCGTATATTATGCCAGCTATGTACGTCGACAGAAAAACTGAGGGATTTCTCTGGTACGTTCGTTGATGGAACTCAAGGGGCCATTACTATGCAAACTATGAGCCTGTACCCCCGCATGTAATACGCGGATATCTAATTGTACGGCAAATAAGCTTCATAAATTACCTACATAATGCCCAGACGATTGTATGGCACCTATATGGTCGCATTCGGTCCTGATTAACCCTTTCAAACGATCCGCGCTAGCGCGCTCTATACTTTTCACTAAATTTTAATTAAAAAATTCATCTTACAATTACGAGTTAATTGGTGAGATGTGCATCGACTATCAAGATTTCACAATAGCTCTATACAGATAAGCTCGATAAGAAATCATTAACGTGATAAAGTATCGATGGTATCTTGAAAATATGTTATTTAAAAAATTGTAACAAGGAAAACAGGAAGATTTTTAGAGATCCAGCAATGATAAACAAGAAATCAAGAAATCTTTCAAGTACCAAGATGAAATTCACCTTTGGCGACTTCAGTTCCATCAATCCTGACAAAGTAAAGCCGGGGAGAATCTCTGTGCTCGAAAATCCTCGGTATTTTTGATAATAACTTTGATTCAGGGCATTCGATTGCTGTTGAAACATTACCCACGCATCATGTACTCTATCTCGTTTCCCGAACAAAGAGTTGATTACAAATACAATGTGCCTTTCATCGAGGGAGCAACGTTCGTCTGAAAGGTTCACAGGACCGCGAAACGATGAGACTGTGTAACCCGGAACACGCGTGCTTGCGCAATCCGTACGAAACCTTCCAACGTAACATTGACTTTTTCAAGTGTAATTGCCGCTCGCGCTCCGATTACTAATCGACGCCGCGGTGAACGTGACACACATTCGATTTTAACCTCGACGGTAGCCACTCACGAGCGTTACCTTCGTGTATTCATCGGACCATTGTCCGTTACGAATGAAAGGTAAAAAAAAAAAAAGTATCGGGGAAAACAGTGCTCCCATTCGTCGAAACGCCATACTTTTATCGTTTCTGAGTTACTTTGCTCCCAAGGATCATTGGAATCGGATTGAAATATTGCCCAAGCGATAAGCGTGACCAAAATCGAACCTGAATATCAATTTGAAAGTTTTGCAAGTTATTTTATTTGCAACTGGTTAGCACTGTCAGCGACGGACCGCAAGGGAGGCAATATGAACGGAGAATCCGGATTTGCAAACCAGTCCGGTTCGGGCCCCGTATTAACAGTTAATAACAGTAACACGTAATTGCGATGTTCTAATATCGGAAGAGACTACGAAAAATGCTGCGTGTAACCCATTACGTCGTAGCGGAGCAGCTGGTCAGATTCAAATCTAATGTATCAGCGAGACTACACCCGTTAGATTACGCACCGTAAGTTGTTACCTTATTTGATATGGTCAATGTGATTTCAGGGAGTACGTGAACGGAATACAGGTACTCGAGGGTACGAATACTTGGAGGAGTATTTGACGTTGTATATATATTTGCGAATACAGGTACTCCTTGATACCAGTACCCATGAATACTGGTATTTATACCTCCGGATACTCGAGAGTACCAGTATTTCGAGTACTGGTATTCAATGCGTAGAATTTCAAGCCTAACTACCTTAAAATACAAGTACTCAGTACTCTGAACTGTTACAAATTTATAACATAATTCAACGCAGAAATATCGTGAAGAGAATAAAGAAAGCTTGTAAAAAATTAAGGTAGCGAGGATCTGAAAAGATAAATTTCGACGCCGATCAACATGCTGCTCGTCGGTAGGGCGGACCACTAACGGTAAGGGATCGAGGAGGGAGAAAAAAGGTAAAAAGACGAAAGATGAGAAGAGAAGAAGAGAAGAACGACGGCCTACGAGCCTCGAATTTACGATCACCTTGCGAGAGAAATCGCCCCCTCTACGAGCGCCATTTTTTTCGGGGCGACGCTAACAAATGAAGCGAGCAGGAACGTTTCGGAGCCCTTGGATAGCAAGAAAAGAACGTTTAGGAACTTTATTCCGAGAAAAGGTTCGGCTAACCTTTGGGATGCAGATCGACCGAGTGATCGGGTCACTGAACGTCCAGCTCGATCGGAAAAAGGTGAGGAAGAAACAATACTCAACCGGACGGGATGACTTTGAAAATGTTTTTCTATCCTGAAACGGCTGTTCACCGTTCCAGATAATGGAACGTGTCGTTCTGATGTGTAAACAGTTGGAAACAAGTTGTTGTATACAAAAACTGCCGGAAAGCAATCAAACTTGCGCACTCGACGCGGTCATTGATTTGTAAGAATTCAAAACGTTACGGATATAATTAAAAAGAACATTATGGTATCGTGTTATGGCTTGTTAAAGGTAAAGTAGGTGAAAAAAAAGTGGATTAATCTGTGATACACTTATACAATCGCTCGCACAATACGAGGATACAGTGCGTATTTCATTTAAGGAGAGTAGTTCCATTAACCTATTAATCGTGAAAAATTCCAAGAAATGGCGTGTGGTAGGCTGGCCCTCCGGGACTTAAGGTCCGGAGCAGTCACGTCTCTACTAAAACGATACCCTACTACGAAAACTTTCCACTCACCTGCTGTCGCTGTACGATCCAGAACGTGGTGGACGAGGGTCGCCGTGAGGCACGTCCGCTTGCAAACTAATTTTTGTTTTCCCCACTGGTAACTCCACTGTAGCACTGTACTATTACTGTATATGTACTATGTACGTTGGTACTTATGTACGCTTAACCCTCTAGATATGTATATATATGGTAAGGGAGGAAGCGGGCGTGCGTAACGCGAGCAAACCTACGAAACGGAGTAATAGCGTGAAACCACCGATACTTCGACGTGCGCCGGACGATACACGTTGAAGACGGACGGATGAACGAGAGAGAAAAGGAGAGTGACGACTGGCCCTGCTCTGACACAGATCACTGACCAATTCCGCTGGAGGACTGACGCGATACTGACTTGGAGTCGCATCTGGCGAGGAGCGCGACAACCGGCTTCACCGCGTTCGGCCGAGTTCGCGCAACTTCGGTCGAGCTCGTACGGCGAACCTGTGGCCGCGAATCTATACAAATACCGGCTGTGCTCCCATTCGTACGCAGACCTGCACGCGTGTGCGAACCTACTGGCTATAGTACATCAAGGTAAGTAACGTACGAAGGTATAGGTACGCCCACGCAATTTAGGCCCCTGACGATAATGAAGAACTCGTCTGTACCTTTACGTGAGCGTGCATTATGGCCGCGTTCGCGCGTTTCCTATCGTCTCGTGGCGATTGATGCGCGTGCGCAGTTCGGAATTCGATAAGGGTGACATTTTTTCCGCGCGAATCGAACTCGACCACGATAAATTCGCCGGTGATTCGAAAAAACGGAGAACACTGGAGGTCAAAGGAGGTTGTTCAAAGAGTTCGTAATGACACGTATTAAAAATCGTGTTAATTGCGGCATTATCGCATTACTATACTTTTTATGCTTCGCTTCGAATCGCGTTAAGCGTATTACCTTGTGGAAATATTGCCGCGTATCGGTATCGAGCTTTCCTACAGGGAGAAACTGGTTTCGCGTTTTGCGCGTGCGTTCGCTAATAAAATCGCGAGAGTAGCGAGCGATAATCGCGATCGTGGTTATATCTCTTGCATTTTCATCCTGTCTAATTTCAACGAGGATTTGGTACTAGTTTCAAACCTTTCTATCGATCATCCCTCTAATCGCGTTTCTAAAAAGGATGGCTTTCTTAACGCGTTTGCCGCGAACGCGTGACGATACGCGTACGATCTGGCTCAGCCTTAGCAATATTATTAATATTAATATTATTTTTCCTTATTCTATGGAAATGAAATGGGGTGCATGTCCTTATCAGCGAAGCCTTGAAAAACGTGTATAATTTTTTCCTCGAAGTAATCTCAGATAAATCCAACGATCCGTGCGAAGTGGCGTTTACCGATGTTAACGAAACAATTTACTGCTGGAGCGAATCCGCATTTGCATCGACCCGCGCGCCTCTGTAACGCGGGCAAATTTATGGATTTGATAATAATGAAGTTCGCGGTCGCATTACGTTACGCATATTACGGAATTACACGGCGTTACACGACGTAGCCGACGTTAAGTACAACATTCGACGGAATATACAACGGAACGCGATGGATCTTAAAAGAGCCAAATACGATCGAACGAAAACAAGAATGCAATTTTCTTGAAACCGCAGGGGTTCCTCTATTTCCAAGTTTCTTTCTAGTTAAAATCAATATCCTCTCTGTAACGAGAGAAATCTTTCGCCAAGCGATATACCTTCTCGATGTTAATTTGTCGCGGATAGTGTAACGAGTACGCGCACAGAAGTACATACGAGACACAGGCTCGTGTACGCACGTTGCTCTATGTCGTTGGTAACATACTGCCAGCAACCAGTCCGATGGAGAGGTAAAAAAAAGGTGAGAAAAAATCAGGGAACGCTTTCGAAGAGCTTTAGACACGCACGCGAAGAGTAGACCAGACGAGAGACAGAGTGGCGCGCGCTGGCCAGGAGGTTTAATTATAAGTAATCTCGCGTCCTCGCTGAATTTAATGCGCGCCAAGGATCGAAGAAGCGAGGATTTAAGTCCGTGTTACCGACCCGTTATGAAAAAACGACATTACGGCCTGATGATACGAACTCGCAGTCGCGTTATCTCTTTCCGTTCCGTCGCCACGAAACGGGCAAAGAGAGACGGAGAAAAAAATAAGAGGAGAAGAATCCAATGCGGCGAGGCAACACGCTAAACAGTACATTTGCAATCATGAGGGTTGGCGGATATGTAAATGTACGGTGGGACATTGATCACACACACAAGGAACACCGGTACCGAGAGTGTTTCGCTTAAATCCCGGCTGTTTTTCTACCGGGAATAACGAATGACTTCGGGGATTCCGGCGAGTTCGAATCTGACAATTAAAACGAGAAACACAGCCAGTGAAATGGAAAAACCTCGCCGATATAAGACGCTCGCTTCCTTAATGAGAATTCTATTTCCTGTCACACAGAGGATTTAAACGAAGAAGAGGAGGTAGAAAGGAGTTCCGTGTTAACGAAAGGAATAGAACAATCATCGAAGTCACAGTATCGTGAGCCGTGTAATTACTTAAGAACGAATCCATTAAGAAATACCAGTGTACTTAATAACGAGCACGATAACGAGCCCAAAGAAACACGGAATTTAACCTCGAACTTCCGTTCGCGGTTCACACGAATATAGGCACGGTCCCCCGAACGAATGCAAGCGGTGATCGTTTCCCCTAGGTACACGCCGCGGCGATCCGCGGTCGTGAGATAATTATGGAAATGAATTTCGATCGTTAGGGGGGCGTGGATGCTGGCTCCTCCGTGACACGACCTGGCCTCGACCGGCCAGGCCCGCCTACCACCATCATTTTCCCCACAATTTTCGTGCCTGCGTGTAAACACGGCAAACGGTATATTACCCGCTCGGTACACCGATCTCTTCTGCAACACCGAACGACCTTTCTGCAAAAACAATACCTACACACCACGTACGTAACATTTTCATCAACTACGATCACGAAATTGGAGCTTGGCTAAAAGGTTGCCAAGCATAGTTACGGAAAATTGTTATATCCTGTTATTTGTACAACACCCTCGCCCATAAATTGGATAATTACATTGTTTTTTTTCAAGAAATAAAATGGCAGATTTCCATATTTCATATGTACGAGAGATAAGGAAAAATATTTCTCTATGTAAATCCTACTTATCATTCTGAGAATTCATACGGGTTCCATAAACGCTTCCGGGCTTCGAGAACGTATGAAAACAGTCGAAGTAAAAGAAATTTATGTGGTAGCTTTATGGTGTCTGAACCGCTTAATAACCAGCGCGTTACGCGGGGGATATAACGCAACACTTGAATAAACATGCCCAATGCCAGTGGCCAAATGAATTTTACTCAAGCAATTATTCAACGACGCTGTTCGCCCGTTGTTTTGCAAATTCTTCGATGGATTCTCACGGTTCGCGGATAAAAACCAGGAGCAACGGCCCGCATACCCGACGCTTCCTCATTGATTCTTCTTATCACATCCAGAGAAATGATGAGTGGTCTCGGATTCCCGGTAGTTGGTTAATTTTCACTTTGACCAGGGACGTCCGTGCTATCCGAGCACGCGGTCAGAAATAAGCGTCATTAAGCTATCCTCTTCGAATTAATACGGGGTTTGTTGAAACGTACCGATGATCCGGGCGTCTAGTCCTAATTGCGAACGGGGACATTAAGCAATCTCTGTGTGTCGCTGGTTGCTAGGTGAAATCCTGGTTCATGCAAATTCACGGGCACCTCGTTACCATTACAGGAACTATCTTGACGTACCCGGAGCGCATTAACACGAATTGGTCTGCCTTTCGAGCCGTTAAAAGCCTGGTGAATTAATAACAGCGACGGTGTCGTATCCTCGCGAACGAGTAATTAAAATTTCCTACCGGTCGTTGGATAAACGTATCCTCTCAGACGAGATTACATCCCAGTGTATATTTTCAAAATTAAAATGAATTTTTCTGAAAATTTTCCAACTTCAAAATAGCCAAAGGCTACCTGTTGCGACGTGTAACTTCATTCGCGCGATTCCCTTTGCGTTTCTCTCGTCCAGCGAACCCGAGATCGCGATCTCGATCTCTTCTCCTCCCTAATGTCTCTCGATTGTACTTCAACCCTCCGTGTATAAAAAAAAAGGAAGATATAGAACGCTAGGAAGGGCAACAGTTATCGACCACAAGACGGGACGTCGAACAGATGGTTGCGAGCTATCGAGCAAAATTACTCGTTCGATTCGCGGTTTCACGCGCGTGGTCTTCGCAGAAATGATAAATGACGATATCGTCGTTTTGCACGATTGATCAGAACGACTCTATCCAGCGTCGCTAACGAGCTGTCACCCATTGAATTCCATCGTTGCACGGTGACATGCTGCGATCGCGCGACGCCATCAGATCCGTATCTGATATATATTTATTTATGCGAATAGCTTCTGCCCCGCGCACAAATTAAACGAACCGATTCACCGGCATCCATCACGGGGAATATCGTTCTTGGACGGTAACCCGTCTTTTTTTTTTTTTTTTTTTTTTTTCACGGAAATTTATTGAACGATGACACGCGCCTGGCGGCGTACGCCTCTAATCGTATCGGGCTGCTGTCATAAGAGCGTGGCGCTTAACATTTTATTGTATATTTATTGCCATGTACTCGTTATGAACGATGATACAGAAACGATCTCCAGGCGATAAGCTTCCGAGGCTGAGGCTTCCTTTTTTCTTTATGCCTTTTATAACCATACCGCGCCGATTGAGTTGTACCGGAGACGTATAAAAGTATTTTGTAAATTATTATCTAGAACCGAGTCGCGCGAGGTAGCCATGATCAAACGTGGTAGATTAATATAGCGGTATTTAACTCTGGGACGAGACCATAACTTCGATTTAATTTTATACGTGTCATCTGCATTTTTAGAGATATTGCTTTTTATTATACGATACTCTTTCGTTGATTAAAATAATTGATAAGAATTTGATTGCTTGTATCAAGCGTTACTTTGAAATATCCTTCGGTTCGTCTATTTTCTTGTTTCCTTATCAAGTATTATCTTACAGAGAAAATAGAATGTTGCGATAAGAAGATAGAAAGATTGCATCTTGAAACGATCAGTTTATGTTACAACATTGTACGTTTTATTCAAGACTAATTAGAGCAATTTGAATACTTCTCACAACAATCTTGCCGCTCTGACATCGACCTTCCATCGCCGATAGCAAAACGCTCACCGGAAGTTTAATATAAACATTACAGACTCGTTTTGCCCGTGTACCACGAGCATGCGCACGGTAATTTCATCAGAGTCTCTGCGGTTCATTAAAGAAAGAAAGAAAGGGACAAGCAAAAAAATCTACTTCCTCTACGCGTACGTTCCTCGTTTC